TACAAAATGTTCCAGCAAGGGCGGGTAATGCACTTTGCATTTTGTGGAGCCAGTTTTGCTCTCATTTGGGGCCCATTCTACACTGCCGTACAAAATCCAGATTATCTGCTTTGAACTAGATTGCATGAGAGTGTAGACTCATATAATTCAGTTCAAAGCAGATGTGAATTGTCTACTTTGATAATCTGGATTATATGACAGTATAGAAGGGGCCTGAGAGTCTTAATTTAGACTTTACCACAACTTTATTTGATGGATTGTTGTAATTTTTTTCAGGCTATATGGCCATGTTCTAGAGGCATTCTCTCCTGATGTTTCACCTGCATTTATGGCAAGCATCCTCAGAGGTTGTGAGGTCTGTTGGAACAAGGAAAACCCATTTTTCCTAGTTCCAACAGACCTCACAATCTCTGAGGAGCTTGCCATAGATGCGGGCGAAACATCAGGAGAGAATGCCTCTAGAACATGGCCATATAGCTTGAAAAAACCCGACAACAACCCAGTGATTCTGGCCACAAAAGCCTTCGACAATACATTTATTTGATGTGTTTTATTGATCTTGATACACGCTGTAGTATGCATCGGCGAAGTGCGTTTTGTAGCTGCTGAAGTTTCAAGTCGTCTTGAAGTTGCAATACATGGTCAGTGTAGATCTTTTATGTGTTTCTTGGTGGTCTGAGGTATTTGCTGTTTGAGATGGAGGACAACATGGTACTTCCTTCCTCATACACATGTTTACTAGATTTTCAGTTAATTTATTACAACATTTCGGATGAGTCACACAAACCTGGCACTCTACCAGAGACAGCAGGACAACAGGTCTATCAAAAGATCTCCTAGGGAAAGATGATGTAGCTGCCATTTAAGTCAGTTGCCCAGCAGGCATGTAGCCCGGGGGGGGGGGGGCTTGAGGGGCTTCAGCCCCCCCCCCAAAATTCTCATGGTGGTTCGCAAAAAGGCCTTACTGGTGCATTATTTAAACTGTTATGTTTATTCATATCATGATCTGACCACCATACTCAATATATCCCATATGCATGGGGGTATTGGGGTAATGATACAAAAGGTTTGCTAGGGTAGACCCTCTTTCACTCAGACTCAGCCCCCCCCGAAACTCAGCCCCCCTGAAACCCCCCCTGAAAAAAAATTCAGCCCCCCCCCCCCAAAACGAAATCCTGCCTACGGGCCTGTTGCCCAGTATACCTAATGTTGGGCATGTATTCTTTTTTAATTCATTTATTGTGCTCTCACATTTCCCTAAATAATTTTGTCAGATAAGTCTACATATATATGCCTTCTATCATAGAAACGTACTGTTTGGCTTCAACAGCAGAAGTACATCATGTACTTTCAGGCCATATTCTGGGGTTGATGCCTTTTCTGAATCAGTTGATACAAGAGATTTGCACAATAACTTTCACTGGCAATAATAATAGCATTTTGATATTACATAGATTAAGTCATGGGTGTGCCCTGTGATGAAAACTGAAGGTGATACTGATTTCAGTAAAGGAGAACAATCTTTTCATTTCCATTTCTCCAGAATTATGTTAATGTTCAATTCTAAAGCTGAATTGCAAAATTATATTGGTTTAACCTGAAATTTTAAAACAACATTTCCATGCTTTGCATAAAGGGGTGCGTGGCCTTTTGGCAACATACAGCTACTTCCCAGACTTTTAATTTTATAAGCTATGGTTGATTAAACCTAATGCTTCTTCTGCTAGACATTATATAATTTGAAAAGTGGGGGAAAGAGATCATATGCTTTTTCTGCTTTTTTTCTGCTTTTTCTGCTTTTTTTATGTTTGAACTCTTCTACCCTCTCTATGCCAGGCATTCCTATTATAAGAATGAATTATGTTTTTTTGCCCATAAACTACCATGCTGGCAACTAAACAACAGTGAGAATTGCTTATCAAAACCATGGCTAAATATACACTTAATAGACTTCAATACTACAGAAGGGGTTTTTTCCCACTCCATAATAATATTTATTTATTTATCGTGTTAGGAGAGAACCAAAACAATTATATTGCATTAAAAACAAACAAACAAACAAATAAATAAATAAATAAACAAAACACAAAGTTTGTAGACTTGGTATTTTATTAAATGTCCTTTGATCAGTAGCTGGCCACTTGGAGTGCCTCTGGTGTTGCTGCAACTGCAAGAAGGTCCTCCATTGTGCATGTGGCAGGGCTTAGGTTGCATTGCAGTAGGTGGTCCATGGTTTGTTCTCCACACTCGCATGTCAGACTTCACTTTGTAGCCCCATTTCTTAAGGCTGGCTCTGCATCTTGTGGTGCCAGAGCACAGTCTGTTCAGCACCTTCAAAGTCGTCCAGTTTTCTGTGTGCCCAGGAGGAAGTCTCTCATTTGGTATCGGGGTATAGGGTGGCAACCTGTGCTTGATGGGGTTGCACTCCCCCTGAAGTCACAGGTCTGAAGACTGAAGCTTGACACACAGGCGTCAAGCCTTTGCACAATTGAAGCTTGTGCGCCAGTTGTGACCGTACCTCGTGAAGTCGGATCTGGCCATGGTGGTCCATGCCTTAGTCACCTCCAGATGGATTATTGCAATGCGCTCTACGTGGGGCTGCCCTTGAAGATGGTGCGGACATTTCAATTGGTCCAACGGGCAGCACCCAGATTGCTAACTGGAGCGAATTACAGGGAGCAGTCAACCCTCCTGTTTAAGGAGCTCCATTGGCTGCCGTTCATTTTCCGGTCCCAATTCAAGGTGAAGGTTCTTACCTACAAAGCCCTGAACGGTTTGGGACCCACCTACCTGCATGAATGCATTTTTGTTTATGAACCAAAGTGAACCCATGCCCCGTGCCCCCTTGGGGAGATGGTGGTGGGGTATAAATAATAATAATAATAATAATAATAATAATAATAATAATAATAAGCCATTGATTGAGGTTCTGGGTTTTAGCCTGCAACTTTTGAACTCTCACTTGCTGAGGAGTTCCAGCGAGTGTCCCTGTAGATCTTAGGAAACTATTTCTTGATTTATTATTATTATTATTATTAATATTATTATTATTATTATTATGGATACAACCAGAAGCGACTCGCAGCATCAATAATAATAATAATAATAATAATAATAATAATAATAATAATAATGGTAGATTTCTGTGAAGACCAAAGGAGTGGATCAACAACAAATTGGATAAGATGGATAGGATAGGATAGGATAGGATAGGATAGGATAGGATAGGATAGGATAGGATAGGATAGAATGTGACCATCCTCTGCTCAGTTGGTTTTGCTTAGTTGGTACCATTGACTTTGCTGACATTATTGGCTGCATAATATTTTAATTATTATTTTAAATGAATGTTATTGTGGTTTATATAATTTACCATGTTTAACGTTGGCTATTTTAGATTGTTTTTTGGGGACATGGTTGTTTGTTTTATGTTTCTTATTTATGAATTGGATCTGGCATTGAATGTTTGCCATCTTTTGTTGTGAATCTGCCCTGAGTCTCCTTGGGGAGAGAGGGTGGAAAATAAATAAAACTGTTATTATTATTGTTATTATTATTATTGCCATTATGATAAAGCATTACAATTATTTTGTTGGAGTATTTCAATTCTCGTGATTATATCTAGGATCAGGGTTCCTAACCTGTTGACTAAGGACCCTTTGTAAATCCATGGGTAAACTATGAACTGGATGTATTTTTTTTCCTTTATTTTCTTCCTGTTACTTTGAGGTTTCTAACATTATCACTGTTCTATTGTTACCTTCCCAAGGGAAGTATTTACAGTATAAACTTATGAGGCTACCCTGTCCCCTGGAACCCTTTCCTTTCTTCCCTTCAAGGGAGCCTTGTTGTCAGCAACAGGGTTAAGAAAGCACCCTATCCAGCCCATTATGGGGGGGGGGGGGGATTTCCCTCAGGCTCCACTTCCATATCAGGAAAATCAGGAAAATAAAGGAAAATAAAAAAAGGATTCAACTGTGATGCCGAATAGGGGAGAAGGAGCCGAGATCAGCTTCCGTTTGCTTTAGTTTTGGATGGATTTTCGTACCGGGAGGGGCCTTACTGTTATTGGTTCCCAGAGGTAACAAGGTACTGAAGATACCGAAGGAAATGGAATCTGCACACAAGTCTAGTTTGCACTTAATTTGACATAAAATTTTCAAGTATATATGAAAAGGACACAGTGAAGTTAAAAAAGATATACTGTCATGGTCTCTGTAACAGTGTTGCAGGAAAACAATTTTTTATTGGTGGGTCAGAGGCAAAACATTGGGAGAGAAGAACATTTTGGGTTTCATAATGACAAGTGCAGGCCAAATTATTAAAATATGTGATGAAGTATTCAAAATCAGTTTAAAATGCAATATTTTCCACAATGACAATAGTTTAGGAAGCTGAGTAAAAGTGACCAGGAGGAAAATGCATATTGTGTAAATCATTCCATTATAATGATCTCATCATTAATAAAGCCATTTTTTTCCCAGAGAAACTTATTAGTAGCCCTTGAAATTCTTTCAAACATGTTGCTTGCAAAAACCAAGGTTGCTAATTTTTCTTTTTTTCTGATAAAGTAGTGTATTGAATGTCTGAATGGTATAATTACATGCGTCAAAATGGTGAATCACATTTTTACACAGAATGGTAGATGCACCAAAGATGACTCTGGCAGCATATAAAATGTTTTTACTAAGCTTGTGAAATGTTAGTGTTGAATTTTTTTTGCAGGATCCTACCTTTTTTCCTCAGTCTTAACTCTAGTGGTAAAAATTCGGGGACTGAGGGAAAATTTCATTGAGGAGTAGCATTCTTATTTGCAAGAGCAAGATTCTCATTTCTCCCCTCTTACTGTACCCATGCTGTATTAATATTATAATTTGTTATGTTAGAAATTTTATAAATTCTATTCATTTAAAGTTTCTTTATAATATATTAATGCTGTGAATTTATGTTTTTGCCATGGTAATAGCTGTCTGTTTCTGCATTCTTTCCCTCTTGGAAAGGTATTCAGGAATCTCCAGTACCAAATGGCCATTCTCTCCCGGGTAGAGACTTCCTTCGGAAACAAATGAGGGGAGATCTTTTCACTCAACAGCAGTTAGAAGTGTTGGACCGAGTGTTTGAACGACAACATTATTCGGACATCTTCACGACAACTGAACCCATAAAACCAGAACAGGTAATATTTACAGCTGACGCTAACTTCTTCCGTTTTGTTCCTGTAATTACCTCCAGATCACCAACTATGATTGTTTCATACTTGATATTTGTCACAAAATTTGTAACATATTTTTCAACACTTGAACTTGATAAATTGAGTTCTTACTTACGTATTGATTTATAACTGGCACTGAGCATTTGACACTCACTGTTTTGAAACCTACACACAGTGGTTTGTTTCATACATAACAAGCCGTAATTTGGTCAGCCTAATTTTATACCTCTGAATCCTCACCAACCCCAAACCATGATTTATTTTTTGGCAGTCAACCATAGTTGACTGCCATCATGTCTACTGTGGTAGACATTAGCTTACCAAACCTGGACTGTTTGATTGTGGTTTGTTGTTGCACCTGAACTCAGTAATCTGGCTTATTTCTGGTTTGTTTCAGTGCTGCACTCAAAGCTTCTCCACAGAGGAGCAAGAAAGGTGTAAAAAAGGAAGTGTCCTCAGTGTGAAATGTTCTTATTTGCCCCCTCCTTCGTTAGCTCTCATCCTCTTGGGCAGCAATCTTTTTCATTCCTGTTCAAGACATAGCAAAAGGCAGAGATGGATGTGTGACCCATCGTTGTCCCAATGTAATGCGGCAAAATACAATTTTCATAGAATGGAAACTACAGAAGAACTGAAACAGAAAAACACACCATGACATTTGAAGTATCATCAGTGTTTACTGGCAGAAGATATGAAGGGAAAACAAACCAGAAATTGTTTAAATAAGCCATTATTATATTGCTTATTTGTAAAACTAACTGTTGCTTGTTTGAAATAAATTCTGGATTATCATTTTGTGGAAATGCAACAAATAAGACACAAAAATCATACGGCAAGTGAAAAGAAACAAAAATGAGAGAAGAGTAAAAGAGTAACAATAATATTCAGACAGCAAAGGAAGGCATGTCTGAGGCAAATTCAGTCAGACCTGATGTCTCACTTGCCCATGTTGCAGATGTATTGGCTGAGCTGTTTTTAGAGTAGAAAAGAGATAGTAAAGAAAGATCTGTGCAACGTAATATTCATTTCTGGTTTTGCACATGCATACAGTTAGTGAGGAAATGTAATGCATAAGAAAACATTTGTTTCAAAAATACATTAATTCTGAATAAATGCTTACTGGTGTCACAGTTTTTAATTCTTCAGGCAAAATTTCATTTATAAAATATTTTTCTCCTTCCCAGAGGAATTGTTTTATAGATACAATAGTAAGAAAGAAACCAGGAATGTTACTAAGTTTTTAACTTAAAGGTTTTTGAAAAAGCATTGAGTTACAAAATTTGTCATTGGAAACTGCACTTTCTAGAGGCCAGTCAGTTGACTTGTATGGAGACTGAACAGAAGGCCAAACCTGGTTTTGAAGTAATGGAAACATTCAGTGCTTCTCTTTGCTTACAAGAATCTACGCCAGAATTTTTTTTTGTAATTTTAGTTGTATATTTTTCTAACTTTGTTTTCTGTCATAATAAATAAATTATACAAATCACAAACAACTAACATTAACACAAAACATACAGTTAAACAATCATATATGTAACCATGTGCACAGATTCTATTTAGAGTTTACATGCCACCCTTCAACCATCCACTTAAAATTTAACAGAGGGCTACCTGAAACATTTACATTGTTGTTGTTGTTGTTGTTGCTATTGTCTTTAAAAAAATTACTAATACCCCACTTTTACAAATAGACAGAACTTCAGTTTGTATCTATTGTTTGCTAACTACAGTTACCAACTGTAGATTTGTATAGGTAAATGTGTCATATCACTTCTACTAGACTGCCCGATGGACTAAAACATAATAGAATCATATTTGAATCAAATCCATGTCCTAAATGTCAGGTTCCTGTCCTTTGAAATCTAGACAGATTGGCCAAGTAACTGGAAGATAATGCTGTATGTCATTTTGTTGACACCAATTGATTCTTACTTGCTATAATTTATTTTATTTTGTACTATTTTATGGTAGCTGCATGGGTATATACCGACAATGTACAATATGTTTCATAATGAATCACAGATCAGACTTTCCCAGCTGAACTTACATATTATTCTAAAACAGTGGTTCCCAACCTGTGGTCTGTGGTCCCTAAGAAATAAAATATGGTCCGTGGTCTCACAGTTACTGCACCATTTCAATGAGAGTGACTGGTCTCGTGAAACCCTCTTAAAGTGCTGAGGCAATGGGGATGTCATGAGGGGAGAGGCTGACTACCCACAAAAGGGGTGTCTTCGTTTTTGGGTCTGTTCCTGGGGTTATTTGGGGTGCTGATTCAGAAAATGGCATTGGATACACCACATCAACTCTAGATTATTAAATATTATTTTATGTGGGTGAGTAGATGGAAACTACTGGATGGCATATGTTCTGTATCAGAAACTAGAGCTGATGCAGTCTATCCAATGCAATTTTCTGAATCAGTACTCCAAATAACTAAACTGAATCTAAAGTTGACCAAAAAACTGATTCATAACCCTTTTGGTACTAATGTTGGAGAGTGGTCCCTGGTCAAAGCGCTCCCTGGTCAAAAAAAGGTTGGGGACCACTGTTCTAAAACATGCTGGTGTCAGTTCAGAGAACATTAGTGACATTAACATATATCTCATTACAATCCCATTGATTTCAGTGAGGTAGGACATCATCATCTACTAATTGGGACAATTGCTTTTAAAGTTTTAAAGCCAATAAGTTCACACATTCAATGGTGAACTAGTTAATACTAAGCAGTGATACAGCATAAGTCCTTATATATGTAAGGGGAATTACCCCTATGTTTAGATGCATGCCTTAATTTTTTTTTAAATTGAAGCTTTGCTTTTGGATTTTTAAAAAAGCGATTGCACTATAGGAGATCACTTTTAAATCCCACTAATGACAATAGCAAAGTTTGAAATTTCCTCTCACTTTCTCCTTTGAAATACTTAGGAGTCAATTTTCATTGGATCTTATCTATTCTGTCTTTGTCCTCCACTTCCTAGGCCTTAAAATATTGTGTCAAAGTTGAAGGATAAAATAGACTGTGGTATTAGAAATAGGAAAACAAGATTTAAATAAGATTCATAGTGTGAATCTTGCATGTTTTGGTGGTTGACATGATTATGAATAAGTGTGTAAAAGAGTATGAAGTGAAATATTTTTGTGTACCATTAGGTGGAGTTCACTTTACTGTTGGCAACAACTGGACAAGACTAGCACAGTAAAGAGCTCAGATGATAGAGTGTTTCATATTAATTAAAATATACAGGATCATCCCTGGCTAATTTTCCAGTCTGTAAACTTTATACTGCAATACTGTGGATACTTCTGTAGATGTAAGGGCTGCCCTTGGATCTGGGTAAATGTGGGCAAGATTGCATTGTTAGTGCATTGAAACTAAATTTGGAGGAACAAGAAGGGTGGGAAAATTCTATTTTGAAATTGTTAGGGAAATTACAGCATTTTAAAAGGTAACTGGGACTTTTAAATTGTCTGTTTTCAGGACACTCAGTATGATTTCTAGAATGCTGTATGTTTTATTTACAAGCAATGCATACTTCTGTGAGTTACTATTATTATAGAACAATCTTATATATCCAATTTATGACAGGGAAAGCAGGTCATGGTGGTGGAGGAAAAACAATAATTGATTCCTATATTTAGCAATGCAGTATTTGGAAAACATGAATAGAAAAATAAAAAAGGTATAAAAGCTGAAACATATTCTCTGTATTTATTGACATTAGTGATGGTAACTACATCTATTTCAGTGCCACTGCAGCCTCAAGCCATTAACTTTAGTGTCTCAACTATCAATGTACTTGTAGGTCTCCAGATCTCCCTAGAGATAAGAGTTCATATCCAGTTATGCTTCTGACTAATGCTATGGAGTATAACACATAGTGGAAGGAGAGACTGTACCGCAGAAAATCCATATGCCTCCAGAATAAGATGCTTTCTAAAGGCTTGCAGAAAACACACAGGTCCTCCTAGTTCAAGAGTTCAGGCACCACATAGGAAGAAAAAGGTTTTGTTTTTTTTACTTTCTGTCAATATGTGGGGCTGAGGAGGAGATGCAAGACTGTGACACACACACATTCTAACATTCTAAGGTACACATTTTCTGTTGTGATTAAATGTTTGTGAATTGTGAAGATGGCAGGAAAGTTCTGTTCAATATTTTCAGCCAATATTTTCACGCGGAAATGTGCGAGCTGTTCATAAAGAAGTGTTAAGTACATTTTATTCATCAGGAGTTTTTTGTTGTTGCTGTTCTCTTCTTTTTCTTGCCAGTTTTGTCCTTTGCCCCTTGGTTGTCCTGCAGTAGCATATAGATATGATCGCACCCGAACGCCCCATCTCGTTGCGTCGTGACAGGCCATCTCCCTGGTTCACCGGGGAGCTGACTGTGATGAAGCATACGAGAAGGGGGCTAGAGCGCAAATGGAGGAAATCTCGGGACGTGTCTGATCGAGCACGGGCTAAAGCCTCTCTTAAGGCATACTCCGTGGCTATTCGGGTGGCCAGGAAATCATTCACGACCACCCGTATAGCGTCTGCAGCAAATAGATCATCGGAGCTGTTTCGGGTCGTGGGGGAACTCCTCCACCCACCCGTGGTGGAGGAGGTCACTGATGACCCAGCAGCTCGGTGTCGCGATTTCGCACACCATTTTGCAGGTAAAGTCACTCAGATACGCCTCGAGCTTGACTCCAATTCCATCGCAGTGCCAGAAGAGGTGACGGAGGCACCTGCTTGTCCATCTTTGTGGGATTCTTTTAGGCTTGTTCTTCCTGAAACCATAGAGGAGGTCCTTGGGGCTGTGAGGGCGACCACCTCACCTCTAGACCCATGCCCATCTTGGCTCATCAAATCAGCCAGGGAGGGGTTGGTTGATTGGTTTGTGTTGATTATTAATGCATCGTTGGAGCAAGGGATTTTTCCATCTAACCTGAAACAGGCTGTGGTTCGTCCACTTCTCAAAA